GGGAAAGAGGGCACATGCTGAATAAGGGTGGGCATGATATCGTAGGAATCACTGCGTCTGTTGCAGACCCTAGTCTGATGTTCTGTACATAGCATGTGCTCAATGAATTGTTTTATTTAACACTCACTGAAAATACCAGTAAATAATGATGTCAAATTTTAAAAACTCAAAGATTTCAACTCAAATGAAAAGAAACCTTATTATAAACTCAACAGAATGAACAATAGTACATAGATTTCTAGGAGTGGCTTTTAAAAAACAAAGTTTTTAACCCCCCATTTTTTTTTTTAAAAGGCATGTTTTCCTTTTACACAGGTAACTCCTTAAAAGAGATTCTAAGAAACAGTGTCCTTTGAGTCTTTGGTTCTATAGTACAATAAAAGTAGTGAAGATAATTTTAAAAGGAGAAAGTAAGCAAAATATTTTCAATTTCTCTTCATTTTGGGAAGAAAAATTCAAAACACTTAAAGAATGTAGTTGTTACCATGAAAATGACAAAATGGCCCACACGATGACCCACAAACACATTTGTCGTTTTCCGCCTACCTGTCTCATCATGCACTGGAGAAGACCCCGCATGAGTTTCACCACATTCTGTAGAAATAAAGTGGGGTCAGTAATAAGGCCGGCTCTCCCACTCCATGAAAAGCTCACTACATAGCTGGTAAGCCAGCGCTGCCTGGAGACTTTCCTGAGAAGGTAGATTCAGATCATATACAAGTATTCTGATTGTTTCATTATTTCTACCTCTCCATCACAAAGAAACAAAATCTTGACAAAGTGACGTATCTCAAATAAAAGGGTGGGACCAGATGGCCCCTCTTGGCTCTGAAATCCAGTGATTCCTCACTGATATTTCAGCAAGACAACTGTATAAGCCTAGTATGCTGGAGATTTATGGCACAATTCTCAGTAATTTATTTTTGTTCTGCTGAGGACGCATTAAGTCCACAATGCTTGCCCCAAAGTAATGCTGCTTTGTGCCAAAATAGCCATTTGTGACACCATTACTAGACTATTGAGTAAAAGTTCTTACAAAATGCAAGTAGCTGCCAAGGTTTCTTAAGACTATGTATTGCAACCAATTATTATAATTCTTTTTATTATAAGTAACACTCTGATAATCAGACACTATGTCCAGGCATGTACAAAACGTTTTAGCTGAATTCTAATTCTTGCAACGACCTTATGAGGTGGGTGTTATTATTACCCCACTTTATAGATGAGGAACCAGAGGCTGAGAGAGAGGAAGCAACATTGCTAAAGTCTCCCAGCTGGCAGTAGGCAGAGCAAGGACAGAGCCCAGGCCATCTGACTCCAGAGTTTGAGCTCTTAGTCAATACATTAGGTGGCCTCCCATTTCCTCCACAATTCAGGTCCAGTGAAAGAATGCTCTTAATATGTCCTATTAAAAGCACTATAAAACTAATTCTCAAATGGCTGGAGAATGGGATATTTTGTAGATCAAAGCAGCCTGGCTGAAAGAAGCTCCCACCCAGGGCCATGGGCATCTCACTTTGTCATATATTCTTTTGAGGCAGAAAATGTTGCCTCATAAATAGAAGGCATAATTAACATTGTTATAATTAACACTTCCTATAGTGCATAGCATAAACATTTGTTAGTTTGACTTCCCTTCAAATAAAGAAAAGTTATGAAGAATCAGAGTGGTCCCCAACTGGGGGTGACATTACCATCCCCCAGGGGGGAGCATCTGGAAATGTGGGGGTGGAGGCATTTTTATTGTCACCATGATGGGGGTCGGGGCTACTGGCATTTGGTAAGGACCAAGGATCCTTAGAGTCCTGCAATGCATGGGACAGTCTCACACCATTGTAACTGTACTGCCTAAGCCCCAAATGCAATAGTGTCCTTGTTGAAGATCACTGGAAGACCTCATGTTATTTTCCATAATCAAGGGAGATGTCTCCTTTAGTTATTAACCACACTCAACAAATCAAACAAGTGGCCTGTTTGTGCCTTGCTATTGTCAGTCACCGAGCAGCAAATCTAGTCAATTCTAACCTGGATCAGAAACTGTTTACAGAAGAGAGGTAGAGAAGAGGTAGAGGAGGGAGGGGGAGAGAGGAAGGGAGAGAGAGCGAGAGCGAGCGCGCGCACAGGCATGGCTATACTCTAATTTTGTATCAAAGGGGGATAAGAAGTTTGGAGGACACTGGCATCAAATTATTATACTATTCAATGAATGATTAGCTTACGTAATAGCCATCCGACTTCTTGGAGGAGCATTCCATGCTTGCTGTAGGCATTTAGAGAACTACCAATTCTTGCCTTACCTCCAACACTATGCAACTTCACACCTCATACTCAGCATGTTAGTCAAATCCAACCTGTCCTTCCCTTGCTCCCACAGACAGTCCTCCTCTTTTAGCCTCCATACTGCTGTCACGGCTGCCTATAGCTCATGCCCATTTTGGTTGCTACAAACAAGCACAGATTGGGCCCTAAGAACTCTCCCGGGATCTGATGGCCCACTGACTATGAGGGTCAATGAGGAATGTATGAATCAAAGATACATCTCAAAGGTTCTCACGCCAAGAGAACTATACTTTCATGTGTCAATGCTCCCTACTTCAATGCTATCACTCAAAACATTCTGAAAACAGCTCCTGTGCTCAGGGACAGATTATTTCCTTATATATTCAGTGATGGCAAATCTTTCCTTTGGTGGGTATTTTGGTTTCTGATTTTAGAAAACAATACAAGGACTTCATTGTGTTGCATGGTAACATAGGCATGAAAATTGGACAACACAAATGTAGTTCAAAATTACAGGGTGACTATAAATGAATAAGGCTGCTTTGGAATGGCTTAAAACAGAAAGGCATTTTTAAGGTAAATCCAAAAATGTTTTAAGCAGTGGCAACACTGTTTGGATAAGTATCCTTTTAACATGACTACTCCGAAAGGAGCATATACTTTGGAATTTGTAGTTCTGGTGTATTGACTTAAAAAAAAACAATCATAATAGTTTATATAATCTCATTTATAAGTATGTATAAAATTAACAGAATATGTGTGGGAAAAACGTAGCTATTTTCCTATTCACACTGAATAGGAAAATAAAGGTGCTTTATTTTCCTATTCAGTGTGATTTTTGTTTGCCTTTTTTTTTTTTTGGAGGGAAAAATCTCAAAGAGAAAGACAAATGAGAGGCTGAGACCACCTAAGTGTCTCCCCAAAATATTCTGTAGAAAAAATGGAGGCGACACCTGCATCAAACTGTTCTGCACACACAGCTACTTCCTCTTGGCTTTTCAATTCAAGGAAAAGGAGCTAAAGGCTGAGACATGGCTACCAGTCAGCATTACCTGCTCCAGCTCATAGGCCTTGGCCTTGTCCTCGTCACGGTCGGCATTCTTGCGGTAGGCCATACCCAGGCCCCACACGGCCAGGATGCTGTAGATGTTATCCCGCACCCAGGCGTCCTTCTGTTCATGACTGGCAGACAGCAGCCCTGTGACGGGATTCTATTAGAGAAGAAACACAAAATAACTCAGCACCACCTTCACCCAGCTCTTGGGCAATGAATGCTTGCTCTCAGGGGGCACAACAAGGGGTGGGATGAGGAGTGAAGAGACAAAGTTCTAGTCTTTGCTCTGCCATTGACAGTGTGATCTTGGACAAGAAGTGACATCACTAAGGCAATCTCTAAGGAATCTTTTAACTTTGAAGTTCTTGTTCTTTTGCTTTCAGACCAGACCGCACTGTTGGAAGTGACAAACAGAAAAAGCCGACAAGACTTACAAAACTGTGCACTGTGAGCTTTGGGTCTTCTTCTGCCTTCATGTTTCCATACCAATTGGTAAAGCATTGAACTTGGGAGCGGGACCTCATTCCACTATTCTAGATCTGTCTGCCCAGGAAAGCTGCCTACCCTATTTAGCTGCCTCATTTGTAATCCTGACACTTCATGTGCCTAAAAAGGATGCTCTGAGCAACAGGACATTGGAGGGTCTATTTAGCTTGATATCACCAGTATTTAAAAGGGCAGCCGAGTCATTAAAAAGTGTATATAATGTCTGTAACAGCATTATTCATAATAGTCCAAAAGAAGAAACAACCCAAATGTCCATCAACAGATGGATAAACAAAATGTGGTCTATATAATGAAATATTATTCAGCAACCAAAGGAATGAAATACTGATAGGTGCTACAGCATGAAAGAACCTTGAAAACACTATGCTAAGGAAAAGAAGCCCGTCACAAATGACCAAATGGTACATGATTCCATTTGTATGGAATGTCCATAATAGGCAAACCTATAGAGATATAAAAGTAGATTAGCGGTTGTCTAGGGCTGGAGGTGGGGGTATAGTGGGAGGAAATGGGGAGCGATGATAGCTAGCAGATTTTTTCTTTTTCTGAATGACGAAAACATTCTAAAATTGATTGTAGTGAAGATGCACAACTCTGTGAATATAAGAAAACCATTAAATTGTACACTTTAAATAGATGAGTTATACGTAAGTAAATTATATCTCAATAAAGCCATTTTTTTTAAAAGCCGGTCCTAATAAACTCTGTACCTGGAAATAAAATGGATAAGATAGGAAAAGAGATGCATAAAGATAAAGGCTCTGTTGATTTTTTTCCTGAAAATATGTGAAGAAATATGTATCTAATAAAATACATTATAACATTCAGAGCCTTGCCAGCTTAAAAAATGCGTTACTCGAAATGGTATCAAATCATTCACAAGAAGGCTCATAAAAAAACTCTGTTGGGTAGTTTCAAAGTGAAACTGCTAAGGTGATTAGGTAAAACAAACAAACAAACAAAACACTGGCATGGTTTCAAATGGCCCCACCTACGGAATTAAATATTTAACTCTCTCCTTTAACTAAACATCTAAAACTCAACTGATACTGTCCTTAGGGGTAACAGGATTCATTCAGTGTATTGACACAGTTCTACAGCCAACAACTACAAATCAATGATTTTAAAGTCAGCTGGAACTGAAGTCTAGGGTGGCTGAGCGAAGGTCCAAGTCCTATTCTAATAGTGGACTACTGGAGTTCTTTAAAAAACAAAACAAAATAAACAAAAAAACCCACTATGCACCAACCCCAGGACAGGAAATCATCAAGAGATCCAGAGAAAGGACTCAGTCCCTTCCTGGCGTACTCATCAACCATGAATCCGTTGAGACAGCCTTCTGATGACATAGGAGTGACTACTTGCACATAGGACCAAGTGTGGTTTGGATTATGAAATGTCACTGTCAACTGAAAGTCACCTCTTTGATTCTCTAGTTTGGGCTTAACTGGTGAAATGGATTAGTTCATCCCCACCAAGAGGTAGACTGTCTGAACCCTGTGTTCCACTATAGAGAAGCTGTCTGGTGTTTTGGAGATCCCCATATTCAAAACTGCATGTGTGAGCCATGTTTGATTGGTGTGTTACTACACTCAGCAAAAAGAAATACTGTTATGGACCGAATGGTTATGTCTCCCCAAAATTCTTATGTTGAAATCTAATTCCCAGCGTGATGGTATCTGAAGGTGGGGCCTTTTGGAGATGATCAGGTCATGAAGGCAGAGCCCTCATGAATGGGACTAGTGTACTTACAAGGACAGGTCAGAGAGCCAGCTTGCTCTCCTTCTGCCATGTGAGGGTGCGACAAGAAGTTAGCTGTCTGCAACCCAGAAGAGGGCTCTCACCAGAACCTGACCACGCTGGTGCCCTGATATCAGAATACCCAGCCCCAAAACCTGAGAAATAAATTTCTGTTGTTTAAGCCAGCCAGTCTGTGGTATTTCGTTAGAGCAGCCCAGGCTGACAAAGACTTGCTTCTTTCTTTAAGTCTATATATTAAAAAAAAAAATACATTGTATGGGAAAAAGATATGGAAGTTCCATTTTGATGTGATTCATAAAATCAGATTGGGAGATACTCTGAAATTCCCAGCCTGCTGTCCCTTATAAGGATGACCAGTGGTTTTTGTCTTTGAGTATTCTATTAGTTAGAGGTGGATTATATTGCATCAGCTGCATTCTCACTTATTTTTGTGAATGACCTAACAGGTGCATCTCTTTACAGCTCTGGGGTCTTCTGCTTACATTAGCTATCTAAATGGAGGGGGAAACAAAAGGCCTCCATATCTGATGTAATTTCCCAAGCTAAATACAAACAGCCAAATTGCAGACAGCAGGAGGAAGGTAGGTATATTTGTCCAGATTAAGCCTATGGCTTCAGATATGTCATTCTAGCTATATGCTACTTTCCAATCTTTTAAAAATATAATTTGATTATATCGTTGTCTGCATATAACCTTCAATGTATTAAGAGCACAGGTTCTGGAAACAGACTGTCTACATTCAAAGCTCTATACCACAACCCAGCTGTGATTGAGCAAATTACTTTAGTGTCTCCATTTATCAAATGGGGATTAGAACAGTACCTAGCCCCCATGGGGTTGTTTGTGAGAATTAAATGAATTAATTCGTATCAAACATTTTAGACTGCGTCTGGCACAAATCAGCACTCAATAACTGTAAACCATATTAATATTATTGACCTATTTGAACAGATTTCATTCACACTACTTCTTTTTCATATACTTATTTCAAGAAATCTGATGAAGATAGATGGTTAGGGGAAGAATCTGCAAGTTAGCTTGATGTAACCATCGTTACTTTTATTAGGAAAAAAATAATGCCTGGGTGTCCTCTTTTATTTTTACTGTTAATACTGCTAATGGATATATTTTATCCCATTGATATGGTTCAGACAAAAACTCTGGTAACTCTCCACCCTTCTTTAGCCCTGAATTTTGCTCATTTATATAAATTTTCTCTTTGTTTTATTATACTAAAATCTGTGTACTTCACCTGAACAAAAAAAAAGAATATCAGTGACAAATTCTGTGATAAAAGCCACTCTACCATGCCGCAACGATTTCCTGAAGTGACAGGTGTGAGGCCCTAAAGGAAGAGGATGGTACAGAGCTCAGTCGATGGCAGCTGCAAGGATAGGTATGAAGAGGCAACAGTAGTGGCCCAATGCAGTGTCAGAGGAGACAGCACAGACCTGTGCTGAGACTCAGTGCCCCTGCTGCAGGGGAAGTGACAATGACATCCTCAAACTCTAGGAAAAGAGGCCCGAGACAGATGAGCCTAACAAGTTGTGTTTCAACAAGGGCAAGGGGCCAACGGCTGCACAGTTTGTCCTTTAACTCCAGTCATTTTATGGCCCCTCTTACCTTCTCAC